AAGAAAAACCCACACCAGACATAAAATCATGACTTTTAAAATACCAGAAAAGCAAAAAGCACAGATCATGTATAAAAGGCCTTCTAAAACTTCATAAAAAATGCTTATTAAGAAAGAGTGTATTTCAAAATTTCATTGCATCAAAATAACCTTTGGACTGCATTTCCCACTTCTTGAAGTATCCACAGGCATGAAGGAAAGAATCAAAATGACATCAGATTGGATTTTTTTAATGGTAACCCTGGTAATGACTTAATGCTTTAAAAATTGTAGTAGAAAACAGCATTCAATATTAAACTCATGGAAACCATCTATTAAAGTGAGAACAGACTAGAAAAATTTCAGATGTAGAAAGAAAAAAATCTACATTGTCCCTGCTCCCTCTCTCTGGAACTGGTGATGGGGAGACTAAACCCAGGAAGAGGATGCAGGGGCTGGAAACCAGGAAGCAAGGTCTCCACTGCAGGACGCAGTGGATGGGAATTTCCATGATGGTTATGAAGGCAGATATTGAAAAAACAACACTGTTACCATTCTAGAAAGCATCAAATCCACCCATTCAGAAGTAACTCCTGTGCTTCTGAATGAATTCGAGAGATTATTTTGGTACATTTGAATGCATTAAGAGAAAATATCTAATTCTGGCAAAAAAAAGTTTGAAATCATGATAGGTACTTAGAGAATTAGACGAATAAAAACTAGGCAATGAAAGCTCCAAGGAAAACAAGCTCTATTTTGGAAAATGGGTCAGAGAACACAGAATAGCTCATCTCTAAATAAAGTTCATATAGTTTTAAAAATAGAAAACGCTAGGCATTGATTTAATTAACATGTGAGGAGATTAGGTTTAGAGACAGAGATGGGAAAGTGTTCCATGAGGAAGAGACAAGAATGTGTATTCAGAATTAAATCTTTGGTTTCAGTGTAAGTAATAGGGCAGGTGCTGTGGTGTAGCTAGAAAAGCTGTCGCCTGTAAGGCCAGCATACCATATGGGCACCTGCTACTCCACATCTTATCAGGGTCCTTGCTAATGTGCCTGGAGAAAAAGTAGAAGATGACCCAAGTGCTCATGCCCTGGCATCCACATGGTGAATCCAGGAGAAAGTCCTGGCTCCTGGTTTCTGTCCGGCCAAGACCTGACTGTTAAGGCCATTGGCAGGTGAACCAGCAGATGGAAGATGTCTCTGTCTCTCTTACTCTCTAACTTTGTCTTTCAACTAAATCTTTAAAAAAAAAAAAAAAAAAAAAAAAAGACGGGGCCCGGCACGGTGGCGCAAGTGGTTAAAGGTCCTCACCTTGCAAGCCCGGGATCCCATATGGGCGCCGGTTCTAATCCCAGCAGCCCCGCTTCCCTTCCAGCTCCCTGCCTGTGGCCTGGGAAAGCAGTCGAGGACGGCCCAAAGCTTTGGGACCCTGCACCCAAGTGGGAGACCCGGAAGAGGCTCCTGGCTGTGGATCGGCATAGTATCGGCCCGTTGCGCTCACTTGGGGAGTGAATCATCGGACGGAAGATCTTCCTCTCTGTCTCTCCTCTCTGTATATCCGCCTTTCCAATAAAAAAAAAATAATAAAAATAAATCTTTAAAAAAATAAATAAAAAAAGACGTTAGTAGATAATAAACTAAAACTATATATATTGTAAGCATAAGAAATGAATATAAATATTAAAAAGAAATAAGTGGAAAAAGTTTAAATAGAAATGGAAATTGAGGATAGAGATTTGGATGGTGACTGCAGTTTTTAAAAGTAAGTGGAGGGCCCGGCGCGGTGGCGCAAGTGGTTAAAGGTCCTCGCCTTGCACGCCCGGGATCCCATATGGGCGCCGGTTCTATCTCAGCAGCCCCGCTTTCCTTCCAGCTCCCTGCCTGTGGCCCAGGAAAGCAGTCCAGGACGGCCCAAAGCTTTGGGACCCTGCACCCAAGTGGGAGACCCGGAAGAGGCTCCTGGCTTTAGATTGGCATAGTATCGGCCCGTTGCGCTCACTTGGGGAGTGACTCATCAGAGGGAAGCTTCCTCTCTGTCTCTCCTCTCTGTATATCCGCCTTTCCAATAAAAACATAATAAAAATAAATCTTAAAAAAAAAAAAGTAAGTGGAGAGCAGATCCAGGTGCACATGGAGGATATGGCAGTCTATGGGAGCCTGTGGAGGACACCTGGTACCACCACAGGACGGAGGACAGTACAGATCGATATCTATCCCAGCAATGTGTTGGCAGTCTAAGGTAGACTGTGTCAGCCAGTGGATGCTGGAGAGATTCCATCGTGCTTGGAATGGCAAGATTGGCAGTAATTTAGAACTGTTGGACTATCAAAACTGCTTGAGCAGGACCCTTAGAGCATGTCCCACATGGGGACCTGGGATAGGTGGGAGGCTTCTCTAGATCTAGAAAAAAAAATAACAGTGTGGAAACAATGGTCTTACCCACTTCCCTGTAGCCCTTGACCCTTTTTGCCCTAATCAACAAAGCAAAGATTATCAAAATAAAATTTAAAAATAAGTCTTATTAACTGTTCTTTTAGATTTTTTTACATGCTAAGATGCATAAAATGAAGAATAATCAAAAGAAGAAAGCAATTGCAAGCTATGAAATGCAATGAAAAACAAATCCCAGTTTCTTTCTATAACAGGTTTTAAAAAACAAAGATGAAAGCTGAATATTGAAGATGGCATTCAAATGCAACTTCTATGCTATAAAAAGAAAATAGAGAGGCTAGAATTAAAGAACCAGAGCATTAAGACAGAAAATTTTTACTAAGATCCTTGGACAATAAGAATGGAAAACACTGCAATTTAAATACAACTGTGAAATTTTAGAGCACTAAAGATAGAATTCTAAGTTTTAGATAGCAGAAAGCACCAACAGCACAAAAGACTGGTATTCAATTTCACATAAGCAGTTCTAATTTTCTTTACAAATTCTGTTCTTACATTTGCTTAGATTTTTCCTCTAAAGTGTATATAAATATTTTAACTTTTTTTTAATGAAAACTTGGTGGTGCTATATATGAAAATAAATAAAAATGTAAATGACTTATATGACTATATGGACAGATATTTAGCCTAGTGGTTAAAGCACCTACATTCCACATCAGACTACCTGGTTCAAATTCTGGCTTCACCTTTCCGCTATTGCAAACCCTTGGTGGCAGCAATGAAAGCCCAAGAAATTGGGTTCCTGTCACCCATTTGGAAATCCTGGAATGACTCCAGGCTCTTGGTTTTGACCCCAGCCCAGTTTAGCCCAACCCTAGCCTTACAGGCATTTGTGAAGTAAACCAACAAGTGACTATGCTGTACATGGTGGGGAGCAACGGAAGATAGTTATATTTAATTGAGCATTAACTTTTCTCCCTCTTATCACCAGGAGTCAGAAGTAAAAATGCTGTAAACTTAGTAGTAAGTTATGACTAAATCTTCTATTCTGCATACATTATTTAAGCTTGTAATACCTACATAAAATACTTTAATAGTAGGTAAAACACATGGAAGGATCAATGGAATGACTAAATATTTTAGAAACAACCTGGCTGTCCAATTAACATGGTTCAGCTGTATAACACTGATGCAAAAAAAAACCAAAATTCGTATCAATGTAACCAAACCCCAAGCTTATAGCAGTACATGAAGCAGACTTTTTAAATGCAACCTTTTATGTTATTCCAGTTTCAACAAGCAATACGACAAATTTCAGTCAAATCATTCCAATGATCACTACACCTTCTTATATGAAAGAATTTCTAAATGTCACGGTCCCAAACCTCTGCCCTTATCATGCGCTATAAATGAGAGGACAAAGCAATCAGTTGAGGAAACCCGGAAGGAGTTCTTTTAGAATAATGTTGTTGTCCTACCTTTGCATATACCCACAATGTCACAAAACAAATACCAGACAATGAAACATGTAGCTGTCACTAAATGACTATAGTACTGCAATGATAAGGGGAAGAAAATGAGGAGGAGAAAATGAGAAGGCAGGAATGGAAGGGGGAAGCAGCAATCCCTGTATGTACAAACTGTATAATGGAAGATAATGATAATAAAGAATAATGACGATTGTGTGCTATGGCATTAGACCAGATGAGTTTGAAAGTATTTGTCTCTTTCCTATAGACTGGAATGTTTATTTTATAAACACTTATTCTTATCTATGAAATCTCTTTAGGGTAGGAAATGAAATAGATGCAAAAGTCATGCAGTGGAGGTACAACCAAGAGAACAACCTGTATTCCTGTTGTCAGTAGGGCCAAAAATGGAGTTTAAGAGCGCTGTGATGATACATAATGTAGACCCTGTTGGGCTTGGGGGTATGGGAGAAATGATAGTCCAAGGGCATCCTGAAATGGGCTTCCCTGGAGAATGTCTGATGGGGTCATCCTTACGGGGATAAATGCAGAAAATGAGGCACTGAGCAGTAAAATCCCTGAAGAAACCAATCAAAGCTACCCACAAGAAATTTTGTTTTACAGACTTTCTTTTTCTTTTCTTTAGCATTTTCTAAGTGCCAAGTCCTGCTCCAAACATAATGATGTATGAACATTTGTTTACTCTTCACAAAAACCCAATATAGTGGAATCCTTTATTACTCCCACATAATAATAGGTGATAAAACTAAAGCACGTAGCAACTAAGCAACTTAGCCAAGAACACAAAGTCAGCTGCTAGTAGAACTGTTATTTGAATACTGGAACTCTGGCTTAAGGCCCTGGCTCTTAACGATAACATTAAGGCACCTTGAAAAACCAACAGTTGCTTCATCAGTTATGTAACGGTCCAAGACCAACTTACAAATATTCCACCAAAAATTCTTATGTAGTTCCTCTTACTTCATATCTATTTTCCAAACAATAAATAAATACCTAGCAAAGCCTGCTAGTCATAGTGATCCAGTTCCTAATTAGCCCCCGTCAATAGTCAGGTAATAGCCACACGCAAACAAGTTTAATAGAGACCACAAAAACCACTCCAATTCAACCACTGGCTCACAGACTTACCAGTTAAATAAATGCTTCAGGTTTCAGCTCACCACATTGTTGGGTCACTTATAGCAATAGATAATTGATGGTCTCTTTAAGTCATGATTTCCTTCTGTAGTCACTAGGGAAATCAGCAAGGATGCAACTAATGAGTGCCAGTGATGATAAAGCGGAGGTCTCCAGATATCATAGGAGCCAGGGATCTACCTACACAATAGATAAATGATATATATCCAAGGCGGCCAGAAAGTCACATGTGCCCACAGGGCTGCAGCACGGAGGGAAGCTGCAGGTTCTGCTGTGGATTTTAGGTGATGGATATACAGTGAAAGTGGATATACAGTGAGCATGAATGTTTCAGCCATAATCAGCATATGGCCAGTTAAATAATCAGTCTCCAGTTAATGCTTATGTGTATGAATGTAAATTGCACTTTAAATGTCAACCAGCCTAGCAAGATGTGCCTCAGATGATGTCCTTGAGAGTTGAGTGCAACAGGACAAACGGCCTATCTAGAAACAATCTGGTGATAAATGAAAAATCCGGAACACAATCATAGATAATTATACAAACTCCCAACTCAGAGATAGTAATATAAAACAATGTAAAGACATTTTTTAATCATAGAGAAAAAATCATTAACTTTGCACTGCAGGCTCTGGGTGTGCATTCAAGTCCACTATCACATGGACAAACTTCTCTGTTGGCTGAGGATAAATGTAACCACAGAGAAAGGGCATAGCAACTTTTGTTGTTTCCTTTCCAATCAACAATCAGCCTCATCCCAATGAGTTAGTGCTACAACTGACCTCCTTTCTTCTACCCCACCTCCCAGCTCCATTCTGGTGGCATTCTAGAATGTCAAGATCATGAGGTGCTTTGACTCACTCTACCCTAGATGCAGAGAAGAGGAATCCTGCCATTGTCCTCCATAGCACTAGCCTGAAGACCTCAGAGAGAAGCAGCCATAAGAAAATCACACTGATTCCAAGTTAATAAAACCATCCCATGGTATGATCATCATCATTTAATAAAATTGACATCCTTCCCACGGTATATGTTATGGCACAGCAAATTAAATTGGCACTTGGGGTTTCCACATCACCTGTCAGAGTGCCTGGAGTCAGGTCCCATCTCTGCTGGCTATCCAGCCTCTTTATAACATGCATCTCTAACAGCAGCAGACAGTGGCTGAAGTTCTTGAGTCCTGCCACCTGTATGAAAAACCTAGATTGAGTTCCTGGCTACTCAGCTCCATCTGACTTCGTCCTTATAGTATTTTTGTCCCTCTGCTTTTCACATTAAAAATGAATAGGCTTTTTTGAAGTAAATTGTATCTTTTTCATTACAGATAAGAACGAAGATGGAAAAGAGCACTTATAATTGGGTGTTGAACAATGCTGTTGAAATTAAAAGTTAAAAATAACTTAATTTTTCCATCATAAAGGAATTTTAAATAATTTCTGTTCCCTGCAGATCCTCTCATGCTAGCTCCTTCTGACCATTCTTTAGAAAGGTATTCACTCATATGGGACAGATTAGACAAAGTATCAATGAAGAAATAACAACTAATTGACACTGTTGACCAATTGGATCTAATCCATATCAACTGAACATTTTATCCAACAGTTGCAGAATATACATTCTCTTCTTCAAAGCACGGAACATCCTCTTGGATAGATGATATGCTAGGCCACAAAACAAGCCTTAACAAACTGAAAACTGGAACTCATACCATATACCTTTTCTGATCACAATGGGATGAAGCTGGAAATTGACATCATAAAAATTTCTAGAAATCGTACAACCATATAGAGACAGGGTGGGAGAGTGGAAGGGAAGGAGTATGAATATCCTAGAACTGTATCACATGAAATCTGTTCTCTTTATATTAATAAACATTTTCTAGAGAAAAATAACCTTTATGGGTTCCCACCCACCACCTTCTTCCAATAGATCCTCACTATTTCATTCCTTTGTCTTCATTGTATCACAATCAAAACTTGAACACATTTTTTTTCATAACTGTATTCTTTTTTAATCTCCAAAGTAAAAAATGCACCCCAAGATGATGACAACAGATCTGGTAGGAGATGGACTCACTGGGACTCTCCCTTCCCATTTTTTTTGAGTTTTAATATTTTTATTTTGAATTTTGAATTGTGGTACAATTTTGTATAGGCTTAGATTTCTCCCCCGCCCCAAACTCCAACTCCCCATCAGATTATTCCCATTTTGTTACAATAATGTAGTCCTTCATAAGGAATCATAATTCTATCAGTACCCCAACATTGTTGCCACAGACAATGTCAGACAGTCCAGCATCCCATTGTCTACACATATCCAACAGTTTCATTGGGATCCATCTTTGGTCTGGAAGCAGGGATGCATGTTCCATTATACCCCATATCTGTATTTGATAGACCCCAGTACTCCATCACTATATATTTCCATAAGTCTTCCCACTTTTTAAAAAAATGTATTTATTTTATAAATTTTTAGATCTATATTTTTATTTTTGTTTACGTGGAAGGCAGGGAGAAATGGAGATCTTTCATCTGCTCGGTCCATAGATGCTCATAATAGCCACAATTAAGCATAGACTAAGGCAAGGAACCTGGAACTCAATGTCAACCTCTCTTACGGGTGGCAGAAATACAACTACTTGAACCATCATTTGCTGCCTCCCAGGGTGCACAAGATTAGTAGCTGAAATTGAAAACACAGCCAGGACTTGCAATCAGGAACTTGGAAATGATATGGAGACACCTTAAGCTACATCTAATTTTCCAAACATCCACCAATAATTTGTTTCTATATTTATCATCTACCTTCTCTTACCAGAATATAACCTTCTTAAGGTCAAAGAATATAATCTGAACTTAATAAGTGCTTGGCAAATATTTGCTAAAATATTAATGAATAGTTTTAAGATCTTAAAATTGTAAATATGAAAATACATAGCTTGACAAAATATATTGTCATCATTACCTAACAACATAGATGTGACTTTAAGAATAGGATCATTTTGCAAATGAAATAAAGAAACAATTCCAAGAGTTTAATTTACAAAGGCAGAATGATTCTGAGTAATAGTTTTTCTTGCTTTTATTATTAGTTACTTTAATGTCATTTAAATACTACATATGAACTTTTAATCATCTGGTCTAATCTTGTTCAATAGTCAGGGGTACACTGGCTTTCCTTTTGAAAGAGCTTAGTGGGTTATATATAAACTTAAATTCTTGAAATGTTCCCAGATTAACTTAAATTCAAGGGTTAAACTGATGTCCTTAACAAATCTTAATGGAAACCAACACATTTTTCTAAAAGGCAGACCTTGCGATCTGAATTCATCACAGAAGGTATTTTTGAGCTTATAAGTGAAGAGCATAAGCTCAGCCTCATCTTATTTATTTATGCTTTTGAATTTTCCTTAGGAAGTAATTACTATCCGCAAACACGTGATTCTACATAGCTGCCTTCAGCCCACCTTCGAGGAAGATGATGCGACATTATTGTTTCTTACAAAACTCAAGCTCCAGGCTGTTGGTCCATGTGCCTTCACTAGAACAACTATCTTGCTGTAATATCACGACTTGTTTACATGTCTGTCTTCCCTATCATACTGGGATCTCCTTGAGGCTAGGAGAATAGAATTGCATATACTTATTTAATGTAACTAATTTAATAACCTAAGCTTGAGACTAAAACACTTTAGAATCTGAAATCTTGCAGAAATGTGATTTTTAGATACGATAAAATCACTCACTTTATATATGCAAACTTCAACATGATCTGTAAACATGATTTTGAATCAGTTTATAGCAAGTAGATACACATAAGAATAGTGGATGCTAATTCAAAATTTTTAAGCCAAACAAAATTAATTTATGATCAAAAAAATTACTATAGGAAACAAAAACAAATACCAACCTTTATTTGTATTCTGCAGATGGTAACTGGTAGCCCTGTGCCTATATCTGAATCTGAGACTTGGTGTTGATATTCCTGGTAGTCAAAGAAAAAAGCAGAAACACAATTATATTTTTATTTTTATTTATTATTCTAGTTAATAGTTCTAAACATTTGTTAATTTCAATGGCAGATAGACAGACAGACAAATATATTTCCCACCTTCTGTTTCATTCCCCAAATATCTATGACAGCCACAAGGCCAGGCTGAAACCCAGAACCAAGAGATCACATGGGCAGGAGTAATTCAGATACTTGACCAATCATCTGATTCCCTAGGACATGCATTAGCAACAAACTGATCAAAGTAGAACCAGGATTGAAACCCAAGCATTCCAATGGGAAATATGGGCATCCCAACAGTATCTTGCCACCCATTTTTGTTAAATTGCATAGCTACTCACTTTGTGGGTGTCAGTGGCTGCTTTCATTCGATAAAATTAATGTTGAGTACGGTTACACAACATATTGTCCCAGCACATGAGATAATTACTATATATCTCTCATGTAAATATAGAAAAAAATTGTTTATCTTTGATTTAAATGAAGTCTCTATTATTATTGTTCTTACCAAAGAATTTTCAAAATACAAATTGAAAAGTAAACAATTCATTGATTTGTGTTGAATTCATACATTGGAAGGAATCAATCCAATTTCTAATTTTTGAAGTCTACAAAGGCCAATTTTCCATGGTTCACTCTAAGGCTTAAAACATACATTGAAAATCTTGACTCCAAATCAAGATTGAAATTTTATTATATAAATTAAAAAGCCAAATAAATCTTTTACTTGGATGAGTAATAATGCTCAGAAATAGGAATGGGACATGAAACATTGTCAAGTAAAGCCAGGACATTTCTAAAGATATTTTAATCTCCCCACAACATAAAACCAGACCTAAATGCCACCATTTGCTACTGTTTCAATGAAACAGTAATACCAACCATGAAAAATACCAACCATGCCTATTAAAAGCCCAACTTAATGACAAACTTAGTAATGACAGCTATCCAGACAACATGGTTTCTACTGAATAAATGCTTGCATTTATAAGCTGTGAAGACATTGCACAAAAGACCTACCATTACATCCACAAAATTATCCCTATACTGGGGAATAGTGAAAACATGAATGAGTATATGTACATCATTAGCAGCATAAAAACAGCTGCATGAGATTTTTACCACAAATGTGGATAGATCAGTTGATGCTCTGAAATGTTGTAGTTTGAACCTTCAACAGAATGGTCTGCATTCAGGAATTTTACTAACAACAGATATTTGAAAGCAAGTTCATGTCTTTCTCAAATGTATAAATCAGTATGTCAGCAATTCCTCCTCTGTGCATACTGCACTAGAAAAATATCTGATTCCTCTTGGCAAATGACTTTTAAACTACCTGATGAAAGATGCTAAAAACAGAGAATTGACCCACTTAGAGTGACCTAACATAACGCTAAATGAATTAAAAAGGCAACCGATGACCCATTACTATTGTGTTAAGTTCATAATCGACGAAAATCAAACAAGAAAAGGCAACAAGAGGTCCAGATTCCAGGCTTGATCATGACATTCCTGTACAAGAATGTTAATTATTTTATTTAACAGTGTTGACATGGTTTTGTTTGCTGAACTACACATTCTTCAGTTCTTAAGAACCCAGGAAAAATTATGACACCACTACCAATGACCTGTAAGGTCTTACTTTAGAGTGGAGCAGGAGGACAGAAGGAGGCTTGTATGCCAATCCTGGAGACTCCCGCATCCTCACCAAGGACTATCAGTGTGGGCACCAAGGGCTATATCCTAACTACCAAGGAGAAAACTGGGAAATGGACTGCATAGGCCAAGAACTCTGAGGTCATCTACTCCCTTTCGCCTCTCCCACATGGGATGGAAGAAGCCCAGATCCTTCCTCACAGGACCTAATGTCATCACAACAGCAGCCGGAAGCCCTGAGCAGTCCTCAGAACAGAAGAACAGTAAACTTCTTTCTGGGCTTGGGAGAGGAGTTTTCTCTGGTCCTTACTTAGTTCCCACTTTGGCTCTTCACCCTCTCTTGCAATGACTATCAGGGTCACTCCGGAGCCCCCCTCCCCCCGCAAAAAAAATTAGATCAGATAGACAGAGACCAATAAGGAAAGCTTAGAACCAGACAGGAAATGGTCAGCTTCGACTCACATATACCTTACTAGGTAGGACACAAAGATTAGTTACTCCTCACTAAGGTATTGAAAATTTCTCTGCACACCCTCCTAACACTGTTCTGCACCTCAATTATTAACATATGGCTTGTTAGAGTTACAAGCATGTTTGGACTATCCTAAAATTCGCGAAGTTCAGTAAAAATTATGCTTCGATACTAAAACTGCTAAATATAAAAATGAAAATAGGCACGAGACAGCTGAACCATACCCTACAACCATTTTAAGGTGTATAGCAGCCGGTTGTGTATAAACTAAAATTGAAAAGTCTTTGAAGTAGCCACAGGATGTGGTTAAGAACTTGCGTTATCTAACATATTGGCCACTCAATACCATGTCAATTAACTCCATAATGTTGTAAATTGTTGTTGAATTTATGTGGTAGCTTCTCATTGGACGGGATGAAATTCTGCCCACTCTACTTTCAGACCAGGGACAGTCTCCCCGAGAAACTGTTGAATGTATCTGGACAATAAGATGCTGGACTCTATGCATGGTCCATGCCTGCAATGAGGGAATCATGACTGGATTTGAACTGTACTACTGCAACAATGTGAAGGAATCCACCATGGGGGTGGGGGGTGTTCGGGGAGCAGTTGGGGGAATTCCAGAGCCTATGAAGCTGTGTCATAAAATGAAATTAAATTTTAAAAATATTAGTTTTATTTGGAAGGCAGGGAAGCACCGAGAGGCAGGTAGTAACCACCTGCTGGTTCCCTTCCCAAATGTCCACAACAGACAGTATGGGATCAAGCCAAAATCAAGAAGTCTAAATTGAATCTGGGTCTCCCAAGTGGGTAACAGAGTTTCAAACACCTGAACTACCACATGCTATTTCCAAGGACTGCATTAAGAGAAAGCTACGTTGGACACAGGGCCACACATTGAACCCAGGGACTCCTTAAGGAAAGCACAAGCCCCAAGCAACATCTTAACCACTGGAACCAAATGCCATCCCCAGTAGTGCACTTTCCAATTCGAGGCAAAATAGCTTCTATGGAGAGGGTTCAATAGACATTGGCCTTGATTTGCATCTTGAGGTTTTCAAAATTTGTTAAAATCATGGTACTTAAAAACACTTCTAGAAGAGCTATGTCAGATTGGAAACAATCAATTCAATAAGGTATATCGTCAAATTGATTAAGTTACTATTTATTTTCAGAATAATGGCTCCTATAAGAAAATCGTGAGATGATAAGGTCATCTGTTATAGACCTCCTGTTTGCAAATACTTTCCTAAGTTAATTATGGTTTTTGATAGTTTATAAATCCAGACTGAAATAAATTAGATGCTAAGAATTACACCTGAAATTACAAATAAAAGTAATGGTTTCCAAGTTAACGTATTAAATCAAAACAATTTTAATTAGTTTCATTAGTAGGCCAGTTAATAGATAAATTCATTCAATTTGAATAGCTATTATAACTAATAAAATAATCTCTTGTTACAAAGTAGGTTTCCATTCAAGATATCATTTGAAAGATTTTATCTCTGCTTTAAAAAATTCACTGGCAAATATGATCTGGAAAATCTTGTCCAACTCAAGCAAAAATATGCTTTACAATAGAAATACAACATAATTATCTTATATCCTGAAATTTTTATATCACATGCTAGGCACACTATAAAGAAGACAACTACCAGTGCTTACAAGGTAAAAACATTTGCTCTTGCCCCTTGGTTTTGCACAACACCTGCAATTTAACCAGGATGTTTTTGGGTGTGCCTGCATTTCCCTGTCAACATTACAGTGTTGGGTCAATGCCAACCTGTAAAAGATTTTCATCTTGAGGCTGTTTCCCTTCTTGCAACATCAGTTGCATTGTTGCCAAAAACATCAACCTACTGAGGGAACATCTACTTTTACTCACTCCCATCCATTGCTGGATTCAAATAATAAATACTAATTTCCATATAGAAATTCATGGAGGTTTTTTTCTCCTTTCTGTTAGTAATTTCCTTAAAACAGCACTCACTGGCCTCATGGATTCACCCTTTTGACAAATTCTCAATAATCTAAGTCCTAAGCTACTCTGATTTTTTTTTTTTTTTTGCTTTTGGTTTGTTTTTAAATTTAAAAAAAAATCCAGAAGATTCGAGACTACTAAAATATCCATCATCTGGAAAGAACTCAGCTCTTTAATCCTGTGCAGGAATAGCAATGTCATTTTTGTTTCTACCCACTCTGGTATTTTCAAATGTTAGCCTCTAAAAATGCTCTATATCACATGTTATCAAAGAAATGCTAATTAAAACAAGATGCTACTAAATCCCTCTTGGAATGGCCAATATTCATGAAATTGACAACACTAAATTCTGATAGAAAAATGGAGTACAAGAACTCATTCATTGCTGGGAGGAATGCAAAATGGCATCATCTGGATTCAGTTTGATAGTCTCTCATAAAACTTAATATTCATATTTACCATATGATATAACACTGATGTTTCTGCCCATGTAGTTACCAAAAGGAGATATTTTCTGACCTCTAGAAATCTTGCACATGCATACGTAAGCAACCTTGTTCAAACAGCCACAATATGGATGTAACTAAGCTGTCTTCAGTAGGTGCACAGAAGAATAAACTGTAATGACCCGACACACACACAAAAAAAATATTTAGTAATAAAATGAAGTGAGGGCCCGGCGTGGTGGCTCCCGGGATCCCATATGGGCTCCGGTTCTAATCCCGGCGGCCCCGCTTCCCATCCAGCTCCCTGCCTGTGGCCTGGGAAAGCAGTCGAGGACGGCCAAGGCTTTGGGACCCTGCACCCGCATGGGACACCCAGAAGAGGCTCCTGGTTTCGGATCGGCATAGCATCAGTCGTTGTGCTCACTTGGGGAGTGAATCATTGGACGGAAGATCTTCCTCTCTGTCTCTCCTCCTCTCTGTATATCTGCCTTTCCAATAAAAAAAAATAAAAATAAATCTTTAAAAAAAAAAACGAAGTGAGTTTCCAAGCCATGAAAAGACACGAAGAAAACTTAAATACAAATTGTTACGCGAAATAAGCCAATCTGAAAGCCTGACACAGAATTTTAAATACATGATATTCTGGAAAAGACAAAAGCATGGCCACACTAAAAACATGAGTGGCTGTCAGGCACTATGGTAAAGAGAGCAGAGCAATAGCAGAAACATGAGTATCTATGGCCAAGAAACTCTCTTGCAAGATCCTATGATTACAGACACATGTGACTTCGCATGCGACCAAACCCATACAATATACAGGAAGAGTGAACCCTAAGAGGCAACAACCATTCTAGTGGCAGATTTTGGTAACAGGGTGGAAGCCTAAGGGAGCCTATGGGAAATCTATGCACCTTCCTCTTAATTTCGCTGTGACTCTAAGAGCAATTTTTGGGAGAAAAAAAAAGTGAACCTCTTCAGTCATCTACATACCAGGAGTATTGCCCTTCCTAACATGGTGGGTACTTCCTGTTAGGTGTGATAAAACCTGAAATTTTATTTTCCAGTGACATGAGATGCGAAGGAAAACAGTGCTGACCATCAGCAATGACTCAATGTGTCAAAAAGGCAAACCAACACAGAAACAATCCTACTGAAAAGACACATGACTTCCTGAGAATGGAGCATATGGACAAAAATGTTTGTGTTCTATTACAAAGTCTTGCTTCCCATCACTACGGTATCTCTAATACCAGAGCTAAGTATGATTGCTCAAATTGCTCAAAGATGTTAAAAATGTATAATTTCTTGGAAGTCTTTAGATCAAGAGAAAGATACACCTAACAGAAATGATTTGCTCGAGCCATCAGTAGACCTGGGGTTCAGACTTTGGTAGATTATATCTCTGAATTATTTAGACTTGGAGATTGTGAGTGCATATATTATATAGCTAAAATCTGTCGTGTGCAACAGTTACTTGGATACTTTTGACAATGAAATAAGGTAAATTTTTTAAGCTAGCTATGTCTCGTTTGGTATGTGCAGGTTTGTTGTACAGAGTACAATTTAGCAGCAAGCTCTCCTTGAGATATGTAAACTATTACAACAACAAATGAAGTGAACAAGTTCTAAGAGTAAAGAATAAGATAAAACTCTCCTCTAACTTCCCCATAGTTGGAATCTTTTCTGCTACGTCATTCCACAGAAACCACTCAGAACTCTCAACATGCCTGGCTTGAGGCTGCCGAATGCCATTCCTTTCACAGGAATGCGCTTCCCCACTTTTCTTGGGACTGAACCACAAGAACAAAAATTTTAAAAACAAAACCTTGAGAACCTTGAGTCCATAACATGGTGAATTAAAATACATACCTGACTGTTTATTCTTCTAGGTCTTGACTATTTTATTACTATCACTGTGCTTGTAAGATTTCTGTTCTCAGCTCAGATGTTACCTCCCACTAGACATAAACATCTCAGTGTTTAAAGTAGAATTGCTCCCACCACTCTTCTATCTCTGTCACTGCCTTATCACATCCTTTGTATTTTTCTTCATTCATGTGAGGATTGTGTAGAAAAGCTGAACCCCAGAGGGACTAGTTTTACACTTAATAGTCAGAAAGGCTTCCTCTAGGTTTGAGAGCTCAACAACTTGTTAAACTTGTGACAGTGACAAAAAGCCAGCATTTATTTTTAAGTGGGTAGAATGACAGTGTAAACGGTCTTACTTGCAATATGATGTCTTGCTTGATGAAAAGGGGATGAGATCTGTGATTATGTTTAACCAGCTGAGTTCTTCAGGTAAGTCAAGGTACAAATATCTCCTGAAGACAATGACTCGGAAGATTCTTCATGGTTTTCAATCCAAGACGATTACATTGGCTAATTAATACTAAATACCTGAGGGAAGGACAAGTTGAGAATTTTGAGATAGCTAACCACCTTCTTAGGCAATTCTTCTCTATATTGTCTAGAAATCTATAAGTTTTACTTTATAAAAATCATTACCCAAAATTACTACAATGGTTGAGAATACAAACACATTCCAAAAAATGTTAGACAAACTCTTGCAAAAATAGATGCAATGATTCATTAAATAAAGTGACAATCCACTAACTTCTGGAAATGTTCCTTCTTGTCAATAAATCAAGAAGCTATTGAGCCTTTCTGTCTATATGAGAGAAGTCCTGAAGTAGAACCAATGGTTTCTGTAACCATGCCATCCATAACACAAACATCTTGATATCTGATATTTGTTCTTTCTACCCTTTCTCAGGACATTTAATTTATTCCTCCCCAACTTCCAAACAAAAGAGAGAATATTGACAAAAGAAGGTTGATTTGGGTGATGCTAGTTTACAAGAATATCCTTACCTCTCCCCAAGACTTCAATCTCCAACCTAAACTTGCATTTGCAGAGATATTAAGAATCTACATCTCTTGACTTTCCTGACAATGGTCTTCCCAAAAAATCTTCCAAGGCCCGGCGCAATAGTGTAGTGGTTCAAGTCCTCGCCTTGAACGTGCCAGGATCCCATATGGGCCCTGGTTCTAATGCTGGCAGCCCCGCTTCCCATCCAACTCCCTGCTTGTGGCCTGGGAAAGCAGTCAAGGACAGCCCAAAGCCTTGGGACCCTGCACTCCGCATGGGAGACCTAGAAAAAGCTCCTGGTTCCTGGCTGTGGATTGGCTCAACTTCAGCTGTTGCGGCCATTTGGGGAGTGAACCATCAGACAGAAGATCTTCCTCTCTGTCTCTCTCCTCTCTGTATATCCTCCTTTCCAATAAAAATAAATAAATCTTTTTTTAAAAAATCCTCTTTCAGAACTTTTCACTGTAATAGTCACCGCAGGCAATGTAACTTCTAATTTCACAATCATTTGTTTTACAGACACAGAAACCAAAAGCAAAGGAGAGAAAACAAAAATAATCAGGTTTATTCCAATCAATAAAGCAGATGACATCAAAACTCCTTCCCCATAAATTTCCTGATTCATGGATGACGTTTAAGTTGATTCACTCCATGCTTTGGAATAAGGATGCTCAAGTTTACTCTTCTGAGAGCTCTCAGGATAGAGAGCTGCCTGACTCTTGCGTAAGCATTTGGAGTGGGAGAAAGGGAAAGTCACGTCCTGTAGGGCCCAGTGGGAGGCAGTTAGGAGGGAGGGAGATGGGTGGAGAGGGTGAGAGTCCAACCAAGGAAGGACGCTGCACGAGTTATGAAGAAACAGTGGCTCCTTGGGCCAACTGGTCTGACTCAGTCCCACAAAACAGACCTTCATCAACCGTATCTTTGCAAAGGAGAGGTCGGAGCTGTAAATGAATATGCAAGTACTTCCAGTTAGGCAACTGGAATAGATTGTGTTTTTTTGTGTACATATGTGTATGTTTTATTCAACACTACCATGTATAACATCCTATGAATAACTCTATCATTTAATTCTCAGAACAAGCCCAGAATGAAGGCATAACTGTCTTCATTTCAGGACTGATACAAATACGGTTTGGAGAAATTAAGTAACTTGCTTATCTAGGATCACATGATCACTATTTGGAGAAACCAACCTACCAACCTAAACCCTCTTAATTCCTCCTAGCTACAGGGATGGGGGCTTTGTCTGGTGGGGTGGAGGTGGAAAGGGTCCCTGCTTCCTCAAAGAAAAAGATGTGCTTAAAGAAAAAAGTATGTATCTGTTGACATAAGCTTCAACATCACTAACTCTAACTTCACTTCTAAGCCTTCAAAGCCATTGTCTGAAATACTGGCACATGTATTTAATACATAAATATTTCATTTCTCCAAATATGTTCACACTAACAAGGGGTTCATTGTAATTAATAATACCAACAATATAGGGGTGGATGTTTTGGTGCAATGGTTACAACGCCAGCTGGGATGCCAGCTTCCCACAGCAGAGTACCGGGACTTAAAGCCCAACTATGCTTCCAAGTTAAACTTACTACAAATGTGCACCTTAGTGGGCAGCATGCAACAGCTTACCTCCTTCGCCTCTGCCTCCCTTATGAGAGACTCAGCCTGAGTCCCCAGAACCTGGTGGGGAAAGAAAGCTAATTTGGGGCTGACATTGTGGCCTCTTATGCCAACATGTTAGATGGGCACTGACTTGCATCCCAACTCCTCTGCTGTTGATTTAACTTCTTCCTGCTAATGGCCTGGGAAATCGGTAGATGATGGCCGTGTGTGGCCTCTACACTCATGGGGAGACCTTGATGAATCTTGGCTTCAGTTTGTCCTAATGTTGGCCATTGCAACCATCTGGATAGTGAACTAGCACATTGAAAATCTCTTTCTTTCTTTCTTTCTTTCTTCCTTTCTTTCTTTCTTTCTTTCTTTCCTTCTTTCTTTCTTTCTTTCTTCCTTTCTTTCTTTTATTCTGATTTTCAAAGTAAATAAGCTCGAAAAAAAAACTAAAAGATAAATGGCAGCAGAAAGATCTTTAACCATGCCAATACTGAAATGTCTCCAAAGGATCACTGGCAAAGAGAAACTGAGGAATCTTCTAGAGCAATCTGAAATGCAGGAGCAATCAGGGAAAGATTCCAGCAAATAGCCACAAAATCAACCTGCCCGGTCCTACTTTGTCCATTAACCATGTGTTGTGCTAGGTAGTCAATGTAGGTTACATTACTGTTTTCAACATTTTAGGGAGTTGTTTTGGCCTTTCCACCTCACAACACTTTTCACATATAGGGGTGCTCCAACAGTATGTGGAAATCAGTTAAAATTGCTTATATTTGTGCAAAACCAATTTTTGAAACACTTGAAGTTTTTCTTTCTATGAATGTTCCATGAGCTTTTTGAAAATCTATCATGTTGCATAAGACTGCATGGTGTACATATTTCAGTCAGTTCTCTTTCGATCTCCTCCTTCCATTTCCTAATGGATTCTGTTCTTCAAAATGCTACCAGCATCTCTCACTTATGAGACATTCAACTCACAGAACTTAAAAACAATGTATTTCCTTGGTCTCTATTAAACTTACATACAATAATAAACTACATCAACTATAAATTTTTATAGTTTTTATAGGCTATATTCACAAAGGCCTCTCTGAAATTAGGTTATACATAATACCTACTGTATTTTATCCTCAAGAGCAGAACATAAGAAATTACTACCAATAACATAGTACCTTCAGAGTTTCTCTCAGAATGATATTTCCAGTTATTAAGTAATCAAAAAATAATGGCAGAGCACTAAACTCTGCTAGCATTTGTGCTGTTTCTAAAATTTGATCTTTTGCTGTGTTCCAAACTCTACAAAATGATTTTTAGAACTAGAAAGTATTAGAAAAAGCACTTAACATTGTCTTTAAAGTCTAGGTAGAAACAAAATATTGATTGCATATCTATCTAGCAAGTTTAGATACCATGTGTAAAGTCTGTGTGAGTACCAAGAGTTACAGGAAAGGAACAAGCCAACTGACTTCTGCCTCAGGCAGTGAGACAAGTTCTCACCTAGAAGAAAGGACAGGTTCTAGAACCTGGATGATTACTCAACATGGGAAAAAGATAATTATCTATTAAGTGTTTTTAATATTTATAGTATGCTATGTTTCATCCCTGGCTCTTGACACTTTTCTCCAATCTTGCTCCTTTCTGCTGTCTTCCAAACAAAGATGCCTCTCTTTCTCTCCCTCCTTCACTTCCCTACATTTAATCAATGAGTTCTGCTGATAAATGAACATCCAATGCAAGCACTATTCATTTTCATTGCCAACTCCCTAGCCATCAGACTATTGCATAGCTTCCTACTTTGTCACCAAGATGCCTTCTGCAAAAGTTGTCTGTGTCCAAACCTTTCTCCACATAGCTGTCAATGCAACACTTTCTTAAGCATAAGAAGGACTGTTCCTTGGCTAGTGTTTTTCAGCAAGAATACATAACATCAAGTTGGATGCCTTGGTATGCTTGTCAAGGCTGTGTCTGTTTCTGGCCCTTGCTAGCCTCTTGCATGGTAACAAACATCAACACACCTAGAGCTGAAGAATTTATGGAGCATTCCCCACACAAAATGCCTTGCAATGTTTTCCCCTTGGTATTTACTTCATTGATTTCCATGCAACCAATATATTTTAGCTTAAATATTCTTTCTCAGGAAAAAAATTGCTCATAGTCCAATCTAAATTAACAGTCCTTCCCTTTTCATTCCTGATTACTGACATACCCTACACTTTAAAATTATGTATATACGATTTTATGAAGAATTGTTTCCCCATTGGATTCTAGCTCAATGATAGCAGGAAATTTGAGGGTTATATTCACTAGTGGACTCCTACAATCTATATTTTAAATAACGAATTTCAGCACTCAAACCAGTTGCCATCCTTTCCCACCCATACTCTTCCACAGTTCACTGTATGTGGCAAAGAAATGCTACACTGAAAGTATTCTACAAGCTTCCTCATATGCAGGATTTGTACAAATTTTCTTCGTCAATGTCACAATGCCACAAGCTCTGCACTTGCTTTCCATCCAAACCTAAAGAGTTACAAAAATAAAAATCACATTTTATGTAGCTTTAAAGGGGATTCAATCCTAATATCGATTTTGTAAATTATTATTCCTGATTTTATTTCTAAATGTATTCCCAGCAGGTAAAATTGAATCATGAAGCAGGATTGGCTACCTTGTCTCAGGTTCATCTCCAGAAAAACAAAAGGTCAAATTTCCCAGAATCCTTAGCTGGGAAGACAGAGCATGGAGAACCTCTAACCCTAGGGACATGGAAGAAGGACACAGGAGCAGCTCCCTCTGGAGCTCAGATCCCACCATTTGGGGTCTTCTAGTTTCAGAGCTTCCAACATAGACTCCCCCACCCTTGACTGAACTCTTATAACAATTTGATGAAACAAAAAAGAAAATAATAGAAGAAAGGAAGAGGAGAGGGGAGGGGGAGAGAGACGAAGGGAGGGGAGGGGGGAGAGAGGAAGAGGGGAAGAGAGGGGGAGTAGAGGGGAGGGGAGGGGGGAAAAAATAAGGGAAGGGAAGGAAACACCTTTCATGTTGTACTTCTAAAGATATATCCTAAGTATGTTTTTAAATTAACCTAATAGCAATTTAAATGCTTGCAAGTCAATTACTTTTCTGAGTGTTTCACATATATCAAAGTGTCCAAGTCTCTCTTATAAGCCCTATGTAGAAAGAATTATCATCGTAATTCCATGAAAACTAGACCCAAACAGGGTCACTGACTTGCTTGGCCTCAAAGAGCTGTTAAGTACTACAGCCTGGTTTGTGTGACAAACTGTTACATGTCCATTCTTGCACTAAGTTGCCTTCATAACCTACCTCAGGCACTTGCAAGAAAACTTACAAGAGGACTTTTGCAGGCACAGGTTCATTCAATACCATGCTGGACACTGGCAATTAAAGGATAAGTAAATCGTTATCCTTGTTTTGAGCACACAGTTAAACAAAAAGACCAAGCAATAGATAACAAAGGCAGGCTTACCGTGTGACCGGCATTAGAGTTCCCAAGGGGCTTAAAGTAGTCTGGGGACAACTCCTCAGGGAAAGTACCACCTAAACTGGGTAATGACAAGTAATCATGAAGAGGAAAATTCAGAGCACTGGCTAAGCATACTTGCTCCTGAACGATCCCTTTAAAATTACAGAAATAATTCAACCAATCTTCAAATCAACAGAACAAAATGATGAGTGAGGAGCTAAGAGATGGACAGAAGGTTCAGGAATAGTGGCTTAATGGAGGGAAGGCTCTTTCCTCCAGGCTACAGCAGAAGTGGCACAGTGTGATACCTGTATTTGCCCCACAGAATCTCAAACAAGGTTTAGGCACTAGAGGTGCTTCTAGCAGCCTAAGCACAGGCTAGCACTAAGAAAGGACTGATTAAAATTATGGAGATTTTCTACAGTTCTCAGCCTTCCGCCAGTGGGCAGAGTTGGAGAACTGAAACAGTCCTGCCTAAACTGGGTGCCTCTCTTTCTTACTCTGTAGAAAGGTTCTAGACTAATTCCCAAGCCTTATTCAGAGGAGTGCAAGGTGCTAAACAGGAAATGGGAGATGAATGAAGCTCCTTCACTCTATAATGTGAAGTTCCTCAGTTGGGAACTATATTCCCTAGGCAAGAGGATATAATGTAACATAATATATACTATACTATACTATACTATACTATACTATACTATACTATAATATAATATAATATAATATAAGTATACGCCCACAATTCGTCTTTTGAGCCCTGGTTATTATGGGTACTTGGGGAGTGATTTGCTTGTTTATTTGGCTTTTTTCTATCCCTTTGCTTTTCTGGCAAACTAAAAACAACTAGAAGTATTAAAGTTGAAAAAAATTTTCTCTGAGGAAACAGAATATTCCAAGTGGCCTCCAGGTGATATTAGGCAATCGCACAAGACAGATCTATGTTCCAAGCCTAGAAGCTGCCACCAGCCAGTGCTGTTCAGATACACAGCACTCATGAACAAGATAGGACCCACCACTTTTTTCTTTATATTTTTATTACAAAGACAGATGGGATTTATACAGGGAAGGATTTTCCATTCGCTGTTTCACTCTCCAGGTGTCTGCAACAGCCAGAGCTGAACCCATCTGAACACAGGAGCCAGGAGCCTCCTTCAGATCTCCCAGGCAAGTGTAGGGTCTCAAGACCTTGGGGCATCCTTGACTGCATTCCCAGGTCACAAGCAGGGAGCTGGATTGGAGGTAGGGCATTCAGGACATGAACTGCTGCCCGTATGAGATCCTGGCACTTGCAAGGTGAGGATTTAGCCATTGAGCCACGGGTGTTGGGCCCAACCCACCACTCTTAGAACTATACATGGAACAGCAAATAATAAGTCCTCTGACAGGAATACAGTGTAGAGCAAACAGGAGACTGAATCAGACTCACAAGAACTAGAGCTCAATGCAGCAAGCAGAAAAAAAGCTGCAGGGAAAGATGTGAACCTTATAGATTCGACTGGGGAGCTGTGAAAGTATACTCTTGCTGGGTTTGGGTTCCTCCTGGTGAGTGCAGGGGCATTCTGGTCTGAATATGGCTGCAATCTCCCTTGGCACAAGTGTGAACTGGAACTGGGCACACCTAACTAGACTAGACTCCAGCACCTTCTGGGACTCTGGAGAACCTGGGTAGAAGTAGGACGAACTAGACTAGGTCTCAACCCCTACTGAGCCACGTGTGAGTAATGTCTGGGTAAGGAAGAGCCTTGGCTGGATTGAAACATCAAATAGTAAGAACTGGAATGGATTGAAGGCCAGCCAGGACATGAGGTGGACTAAGTAGGGCTGGCCCATGGACCCATGGTACGTACAAGATCTGGCATAGGGAGAGGTTCTGAGGAGGAGCCTGGGCAACTCTTCTGGCAGGACACAGTACCTGCAGGTGAGTACAGGAAACATGATAGGGAGCAGCCCAGACCAGGCCAGGAAAAGATACCCACTGGCATACATATGGCATAGATAAGGGGCAGACCAGGCTGAACCAGTTCACATCACCTGCTGGCAAATCCAAGCACCAAAACAGAGTGTGGGTCGGGCCAGGTTCAGTTGCAACACATACCAGTACACAACAAGTAATGCCAAGGTGAGGTGAGCCATACTAGATGTGGCTGCGGTGCCCAACCAGCACATGTGAGAACCAGGGAGAGAGGGGGCAAAGGCAGCAGGAGAAATGTGGGCTCCCCTGCTGGACAGCCACTCCCACTGGAGAGCATCAGTTGGGATGGGGGCAGACCAGATCAGGCAGGGCTACAACACTTGGGGGCCTCATGTGAGCTAAATCAGAAAAAAGCCAGACTCAGCTGACTATCTCAACTGGTGCAAGCATAAATTAGAGTGGTTGAGGGTTGGTTGGACTTTGCCACAGCATCAGTTGGCAGAGGTTGGCATGGGGGGCTAAATCTGTCAAGTTAAATGCCAGAACCACCTGGAGAGTACATAATCCAGGAATGGGAGTGGCCTAGTAGGGAAATAGGGGCACCTCCCTCTTGGGTTAACACTCCCACTGGAGAGCATGAAAACCAGGACAGGGACAAGGGTGGCTAGACAGAAAGGCACCTGCCATAATGTGTGTGGACTGGATAGTAGGACTGGTTGGGTTGAACTAGGCTTCAATGCTCATTGACATGTATGAGAACTAAATGGGATGTGGGACAGACTGAACAGGTCTGTGGTACATAGCGGCAAGCACGGAAACCAAGGTAAGGGGCAGGCCTGGTGGGGGTTATTGGAAGTTGACCCATCTAGGCTGCAGCTCTCAGTGATTTGTGGGAGGGCCAAGTATGAAGTGGGCGGGATTGGGCTGGACCACAACACCCATCAGTTTGTTTGGAAGACAGGGCTGGAAACAGAACTGACCCAGACATTGCATGACCAGCATGTGCATAAGCTGACTGGGGAGACGGACTGTGCTGGACCCTGTACTGGCAAGCACACACAAGAATCAGGTTTGGGATCACCTCAGATGAAATTTCTTTGGAGACCCTTTCAACTGAACTGCTGATCTCAGAACTTCAGCCATGAAGAGACTATGTCAGCCAGCTGATTCTGCAGAAATTTCATCATGCAGCAATTCAGAACTGTTGAACTATCAAAACTGCTTGAGCAGGACCCTCGGAGCATGCCCCACATGGGGACCTGGGATGGGTGGGGAGCTGGGTGGGGCTTCTCCCTTTATCTCTCCCCTTCCCCCAGATACAGAAAAAAAAAAATTAGTGTGAAAACAATGGTCTTACCAACTTTCCTGTAGCCCTTGACCCTTTGTGCCCTAATCAACTATGTGAAATTATCAAAATTAAAAAGTATTAAAAAAAAAAAAAGAATTAAAACATGGGCCCAGCACAATGACCCAGTAGCTAACTCCTTGCATTGCAAGTGCTGGGATCCCACACAGGTGCCAGTTCGTGTCCGGAATGCTCACTTCCCATCTAGCACCCTGCTTGTGGCCTGGGAAAGCAGTCAAGGATGGCCCAAAGCCTTGGGACCCTGTACCTGCATGGGAGACCTGGAAAAAGCTCCTGGCTCCTGCATTCAGATCTATTCAGCTCTGGACATTGCAGCCTCTTGGGAAATAAACCAACAAATTGGAGGATCTTTTGCTCTCCTCTTCTGTAAATCTTTCCAATAAAAATAAATAAGTCATTAAAGAAAGAATTAAAACATATCACAATATTGCCACAATATTATTTTTAGATAATGTTCAATTTCTTAAAGTCATAAAATTTAGTCAGCTAAATAATTTGCTAGAAATAAAGAGAAACAAATATTCAAATGGTAAATCCAGTAGTCTTGGGAAAATATTTCACCTTTTTCTAAAGAAGCAAGCTCCCATTTTAGAAAGGATCACATGATTAATACACATAGATACTGAAAACTACAATTAAGTTTAAAGTGGAAGGATGAGTAGTCTTGCATATAAAGAGAAAGAGCAATGGCCTCTTAGCAAAGCTGAATTACAGATGTGGAGGGGTGGATATGAAAGGGGCAAGGTAAATCGAAGGAGGTGATTGGATACATTTGGTAGATAGTTCTGTCTTGATTCTGCAGGGTTTGAGCAGTCCATGGGGGGAAAGCCCACCTGTGGGCGGGCAGTACTTTCAGGAAGCCAATGGAATAGTCAAGCAGAAAGTATGAATAAAGAGAGATGAAAATGGACACCGTATTTGTGAACTGAAATCAATCTAGTATGAGCCACAGGGAGAGGTGCTGGGCAAGAAGAACAGGAAGAAGCCAGCTGTCCCCACAGAAACTGAACATATGGCATCATTTTGGGGATAGCCTAGCCCCCTTCTAGGTAATCAATGAGAAACCCTCCAGAAGAAGCTTTAAAAAAAAAAGGATTTATTTTTTTTTTTTATCAGAAAGGCAGATATACAGAGAGGAGGAGAAACAGAGAGGAAGATCTTCCGTCCAATGGTTCACTCCCCAAGTGAGGGCAACAGCAGGTGCTATGCCGATCCAAAGCCAGGAGGCCAGAAACTCCTCCAGGTCTCCCACATGGGTGCAGGGTCCCAAGTCTTTGGGCGGTCCTCAACTGCCTTCCCAGGCCACAAGCAGGGAGCTGGATGGGATGTGGAGCTGCTGGGATTAGATAATATTCAATGACACGTTCAGGGCGAGGGCTTTAGCCACTAGGCCATGCCACTGGGTTCCAGAAGAGGCTTCTGGCCCCATGACACATCCATCACGCTGGTCACCAACTCTGGTCACAAGTATTTCTTCAACATTTTCAGTGAACATTTATGATTTCAATTATACCTTTTAAAACGCCTGAGTGGGAGTAAGTTCCTGTGAAAATGACCTCTTACAGGAAGAAGTAAATATTCTTAAATGCTAACTCCTCCTTACATGACATTTCTTCCCTTTAAATATGTCTGTTCCTGCCGATCCTGAGAGCTTGCTTAGGTCTACTCGCCCCAGGCTGCACGTCATCATTTCCCCTCTTCCATGTTCAGCAGGTACACTTTCTTCTCCTCTCTTTCCCTCATGTGCATTCCCAGAAAACTTCTCTTCCTGAATTCCACTTTAACAATGCAATTCATTAA